GAAAAACATGGGGAGTCTCTAGCTGTGGCGATGGATATATCAAAGGCATTCGACCTTGTTTGGCACCAAGGACTCCTTTACAAACTATACCAACATACGACTTACTAGTCTTACTACATCACCCATGCCATCTTTTATCGAGTTTTCTTTTAGGCAGATCGCTTCATGTGGTGGTGGACGAAGTATCGTCTGATACCATTGACATCAATTCCGGCGTTCCACAAGGATCAATTTTGGCACCAACATTGTCCCTATTTAATATAAATGATCTGTTGGTAGCAACCGAGCAACCACTTGCTCTATCCACAGCTTTGCAGATGATAGTACTCTCCATACTGCGTTCTGTTCTAGAGTTCCCATTTCTTTCCAGGAAACTAAGAACTTACGACGCAGGCAGGTCAACGCTGTCAATGACGATCTCATTGAATTCAACGCCACCAAAACATAAGCCTGTATTTTCTCTAGAAAGGCGGAACTCAGTATGCCTGATATAACAATGATGTCTGGTACCACCATTTCCACCAAGACCAATATATCGATGCTCGGTATTTCCATCACCTATACTCTTTTATGGGAAAATCATGTCCATTCGCGAAAGCTGCTTCACAAAAACTGGGATTTTCATTCCGTGCGAAAATCTACTTTACACCTCAACAGCTTCTCATGATCTACAAAGCACAGATACGGCCAGTTTTAGAATACTGTTCTCACATATTGGGTTCAGCGCCCGAACATTTTAGCTGATGCTCTTAGATTCCATCCAGAGAAGAGCCATCCGCCTGGTGGGTGATGCCGCACTCACTAATATCTTCATTAGAACACCGTAGAAAAGTCAGAGACCTATCACTTATCTATAGATACTTCCACTGGAAATGTTCTTCAAAAATCTCTGATATCATTCCATCACTAGCAATACTACTCAGACCCACTCGACAGGTCCATTAAGCACATCCTTCCGTTGTCAACCTTGAAAATATGTCGAACAATACTTCACCAAAACTCGTTCGTCTATAGAACGACAATGCGTTGGAATTCTTTGCCGATACAAGTATTCCCAAGACCAAGAAGAACCAGTTCAAAAATAACCCTGTATATATTAGAGTATATCCCTACAATAATACCTACTTCCATTTCCTTATCCCTTCCTAAAATGTGTAATTCAATGTGTACACTTGCTTTCTTATCCGAACCTATTTTCTGTGAAAGAATCAAGGTCAGGAATTGATTGGTTCTGATTTTTGAAGACTTTTTATGAGTTTTTTCCTAATTGCTCCCTCCTGAAGTATGTAAGAGTCAATGTCTTCCGAAATTTCAAGGCACACTTCTATCGATGAAAACATTGATAATTGGGTGGTTATGAAACAAGTGAAATACATCGTTCCTTGCAAAAATCAACAGTTTTAGACATACATATATACACGTTATTGAATGGGAAGTGTACATAGAAAAACAAACTGATTTGAGGGGAAAACGAACTGATTACCTCTAAACATACTACCTCATTCTCTGATTTACTATAGTAGAAATTGTTAAAAGTCAAATATAGATAGCTAACAGTTTATTTTTTCGAAGAAAAACAGAAATACAACAAGTCGGTCGACCACAAAAATTATATTTACACAAAATGTATTGTGGCTAGTTTCGGCTCAATCAGCCATTTTGAGTACACAGTATCATGCAGTATCTATAAGACCATGTGGAAATCACATTATAAAATTAAAATGAACCGTGGAGTCATTTGATCCAAAAACATTGGCGATGTTGAACCTGATGATCGTTGGGTTCTCTTGGCTGTTCAGTTGTATCAAAAATTCAAGTTTTCCTTTATCGGACTGATTTTTCAGATCAAATGACTTCACGGTTCATTTTATTTTTATACGTATAATGTGTACTTAAGTGTCTAAGGATTACTGTTTGAGCCCAAACTACCGACTTGGTGTATTTCTGTTTTTCTTTGAAAATAAAATGGAAATTTGGACCACTCTGAGACGGATGGATGGTTTCCATGACTAGTATATTTCATTCTCCACTAGTTCCTCTTCTTGATTCACTTTCTAAAATTACTCAAAATTGATAGTTTTGGCGCATACATAATGCATATGACGCAAGTGATAGAATAAATATAGTATGAGCTCCAAGGGAAATACCAATCTTCCAGACACGCTGTATGTACGCTAGACAGTAAGGTGAGAGAAGCTGAACTGGAAATAGATCGTGCATGGCTAGTGGCCCTGAGTTCATGTAGATTAAAGCTGTAATTATAAATAAGCAATGATCTGGTAGGTATTCTAACACCTCGCAATGCGATTAAAAGACTTAAGGAAACCATAGATATATTCAAAAATCCAAAAAATTCAATTAACAAACACTAAATAGGTATTTCGGCAACTAAGTTACCATCCAAGTAGTAAAAAATTAAAATTAGCTAACTCTATACAGGGTGTGATTCATTAGGACTGGGCCATCTCTGAACTACAGATAGTAAATACCAAAATATGAAGATCAAGTTGGTGGTTTAGGAGATACAGGGTGTTCAAGGGGAAGATTTATTTCAAAATTTCTCAATAACGTTGTTTCGACAGCATGAACATTAACATTTTGTAATTTCAGGTTTTCTGACATAAGAAACTCATTTCGTGATTGCTCATAGAGGGCACTGGTGACACTCTGTTACTTAGGTGAATTACATCATATCTTCTTTGTCCATTGAATGAAGATTAAAATAAAACAGCAATCTATAAGCCCGTTCAATTTTACATAAATATTAACACTTTTTCAAATTGTCCAGCTTTAACGGTTTTCGCGTTATTCGATCACTGTTGAAGAGATTTGTGTTTCACTTTTAACATTTTTATCATTTCAAATTATAAAGTCAGCGAAGTGACAGTGAAAAAAAAGGCGCAGAAAACAATAGTGACAATCACTAACAACATCAAAAACAAATAGAATTTCAAAGTGAATATTTAACCTGAGGAATGGAGAAATTTAGAAAACCCTGTATCTACATTTTTATAAGGCATGTTGGACTAAATCTTCATATTTTGATGTTTACTATCTGTGGTGCAGAGATTGTCCATTCCTAATGAATCACCCTGTATAGAGTTAGCTATTCTTTATTTCCTTTTCTGCGCGATACGCAGTATAAAATTACGCGATGTGACGATTTACACCGTCTTGTAGTCCAAACACCTTACACTGATTAGTGTAAAATTGACATCGAACATATTGGTCACATTTGGGATCTAATAGAGAAAATTCAATGAATTTTATCAATAGATAACCTGAAAAGTGTCATCTGACTTGACCAATTCAGTATTCAGTGTTTTCTATCGAGTTGAAGTGAGAATTTGAAGACCATCTGAACACACTAGCTTTAACCCCAAATTGGTGTGGATACAATGGTGTCATCCATTTTCTACTATTTTCTACTGTGAACTTTCCAAATATATAGATGACCTATAAACGTGAAAAAGTTCAATAACGATCGTACCTACTTACTAATAATTGAAAGACCGCTTCAGTGTATAATGAATGGGGAATACCTCGACTGCAGAAATTTTTCTGATGGCCCAAAAAAATGTTTGGGATCACACATTGAAAGGTACGGCCCTGTCATTCCTTGCACTCACAAGTCACAAGTCTCTTCTCTTGAAGACTTTTGAGGGTTGCTCGTAAGGGAGCAACCGAATGACGGATAGAAAAATATCAGAGCAATTTTTTAGTGGCGAAACATGTTGGCATAAGAAGAATTGCATTTATTATTGTTCTAATACATTTCAGTGGACGTTTCTTTCAATCACAGTTAAATGGGCGGCACCGTTGTATTGAAATAGACACCATTTTGGAGTTGAAGCTAGCATGTTCCAATAATATTACTGAATTTGTAACCTAAATTGAAAGTTATCCTCATTCCGACTCAACAGGAAACACTGAAAACTGAATTGATCAAATCAGAAGACACTTTTACTCTACTGTTGTCTACTAAAAAAAAATTATTGATTTTTTCGCTATTGAATTTCAAAATTCAACCAACATGGTGGATGTCAATTTTACATTATTCAGTGTGAGATTGGTGCAATTTCAGTTTTCAACATTTTGATATCTTGTATAAACATTAGCGAATTGTTTTAATTCAGAACTTGGGTACATACGTCTACTTACAGAATTTTATCTCAATGTAACCATGTCGAGAGTCAATATTTCAAAAATTTTGTTCATGAAGATTAGGAAAGATACCTTCTAGATAACAGATAAAGTGATGCAGAACACGTGTGCATGAATTTATGGAATTCGCGTTTTCTATACCAATAGCAAATACCAATTCAGACTATCCTAAAGCTATGCCAAGAAGTCATTAAGCATACTGAACTCATATCTTTGAGTAATTCACTTCACGTTTCTACTGAAGATTTTGACTATTTAGTTGGATGTTTCCAAATATCTTTTTTCTACGGCTATAACACAAAATTGCTCTTGTTTTCTCATCTCATCGCCTATAGAAAATGTCAAATGCCAAGCAATGAAAGCTCTGTCTAATAGATGAGCATCACTTGAGAGGATATCAGATGGCTATACAAGACGAAGAAATCGAAAATGTCGCTGTTGTTTGTTACAGCAGTAGAAAAAGTATAGTGTATAACTCGCACGGAATGCTAATTTCCCACTCGAATGATTGCAGCATTCGGCTACGGCTCATGTTGCAAATTTCATTCTCGTGGAAATAACTATCATTCTGAGCTCGTTAAACAATATACTATTGATGCGACTATTTACAGATAGACGGGTAGGTACTTTTAGTAACAGGATATCAAAATCCATCAACGACAAACAAAAAGACTATTGATACTTTGAAGCATATCGAATGAACAAACCTTACCGTATTGAATACCTGACTATTATGATGGTTTATATCATATGTTATGCTACCAATTTACTATGTTGAAGTTGATTCATACTCCCTTTACATATGTATATGACTAAACATGAGGCATTTTTTTCAGGACCGCTGTGGTGTAGTTAATGCAAATGGTAGTAGCCCCTTAGAAAATATGAGAGGACTGGAACATTATTTGAATGATATTATGAGCCCCCAAAGTAACACGACTGATATGAAAGGTGAGTTTTTGGAAATTGTTATTTGATCGTGATGAGGTATAGATTTGCTTTTCCCTTCATTTTTCGTTTGTCATAGAATATGATACGAAAGACACAAAATTCCAGTAGGTATCTACGTTCATTTTCTATATTTCCTAGGTATGCATACACGATGTTCCACGAACATAATGGGGATTTTATTTCGTGCGCTCGAAAAGATAAAAAATAAGGTTCACACACGCTAAATGATCGATTAATCACGGATTGACGATCTGTGATTTATTCAAAATATTAAACACGTTACCATGGCAACACGATTTTTTGAACACATTACCATGGCAACACAGTTCATTAAACACAGCTTTAGTAATTTGAGACATGTCTGGCCTGTCAATTGTATTAACTGTCAACTGTTATTTTCAAATTTTGTATCAGAATTATTCAAACAATATTCGTTTGTATCAGAATTCTTAATTCAAAATATATTCGAAATGTAGACGAAAGTGAAATTGAAGAGAAATGTTCTGGTACTTGCATTTCTCCTAGAAGTGTAAAAATTAAGCATCCATCTTTGAGAACAATTTATCCACTCTATACTATTATTTAACTTGCAATGTATGTATGTATGTATGTTCGGGTGGAATCTTTGAACTCAATTTTGAAGTAGATATCTTCATCCGATTGAGCTGAAATTTTGTGACAATGTACGATAAGGTGTGTGACGTTATTCTGAATCCAATACGGCATACCCTCCAAGATGGCGGAATGGTTATTTTACTTCATTTATCTACTTCTACAATATGGGTATCAAATGAAAGGGTTCGTTGAGAGCAACTCGAAAAATAATGTGACGTCATTCTCATATTCATTCGTCATTCCGATATGGCGCACTATTAAAGTGTTTGTGCATTCCTATAAAATGAAAGGGTTTGCTGGGAATGAAAATGCAGGTTTGAAAAAATAGATTTTCTCGTGCTGAGGAACCTAGCCAGCGATAACTGAAAAGTAGAAAATGAATTAGAAGTGAAAAAAAACTTAAAAAAAAGCTCTTATTTAAACGCTCTCAAAAGAAGAAAACAAAATTTTCCGTTTAAATTTTGACTATCAACTTATAACCGCATTATACACAATCTATATAATCATAAAAGCTTCTCGCGATGATCAATATTTAATTAAATTGAAACATTAGAAATTTAAACTTAGCGATTTACTTGTCTAAATAAACTAGTACTAATATTCATTATTCCAAATTTTTTGGGATTTTCTCTCCTCGTTTCTATAAAATAAAAATATGAATATTATTTCAATATACGTGTAGTAAGGACAAATCAGATGATTTGCCCCAAAATGTCACTGCGTTTGAAGAATTTTCCAATCAGAGAGCCTAAAAGGAAAATTCACTAGCTTGTCAGTGACAATTTGTATTGAAAAAAGTTTGGAGAAGAGAAATAAAGGTATATAGAAAAAATATCAAATTTTCACTTATCTTTGGACGTCTCGGGACCGATTCTGCTCCCGTTTCCAACATAAGATATGATAATTTCAATAGCTAAGTCGTATTCATCTTGAAGCTTTTCAGTTTTCATTAATTAATCTTGAATTTACCATTTTCATGTTCAGATTTTAGTAGTGAATACCATGTTCTGTCTATATCAACTGAACAAGAAGCAATGCTATTGTCTCCGTTCAGAAGAATGCAAGCAGATTCCTTGATTTATCTCTTCTGGTTGTTATCTTCTTTTTCAATGATTTTAATATTATTCCACTCTGCCATATGTTGTCCGTCTTCAGTAAGGATATGTTCAGCTAGTTTCGATTTATCGATGTGTCATTTCTTTATATTGTACTTATGTTCCTTCGTCCTTACTGAAGACGGAAGGAAGGAAATTCCTATAATGTTCGTAGAACATCGCGCTTACCTTGGATGAATAGGTGTTGGATTTTTTTAAAACTCTTTGAGGTTATAAGTTGAGTAAAAATTGCCAGTTCAACTATCAATTGGAAGTCTTAATTGCCAGTTCAAATCAAATCAAATCAAAGTGGCAGTTAAAAATCAATTGAATTTTTCTTATCAGGGGTTACACAAAGATTTATCTTGTAGGACGCAATATCAAAGCATAATGTGACTGATAAAAAACTTCGTGATCTGTTCTTGCACTAAAATCAGTCAGGTGGTTTCTGACATGCACGAAATCACCATCATAGAAGCTGTTATCAATACAATGTTGTATAAAGAATGAGTAACCACTGTGTATAATGAGTCTTTATCTTTATCAGAACAATTCAGTCATTTATTGTTGCTGATAATGAAAAACTTATATGGAAATTTTACGTAAGTGGAATGTACAACAAATCGCAAAAACGTCATACCGAAGGTATTTCATATTTTTATGGGATAGTTCCAGAAAATCATAGGCAGGTATACCTATATCCAGTCCTGAATTATTATATTACAGGTTGCTTCAGAGTTGTGAAGGCAATAGCCTAGGGGATATTCCACTCAGGAAAGTATGGAAAAAACTTGATGTGACTATGGATCGGAGGAAAAAGTTCTTTATTGATAGCTCATAAACGTTTCAGCCGATTTCAATCATACTGTCACGATTTATTTAAACAGTTATCAGATATTTACTGAAAGAATAATATTTTATCACCCTGTAGTTTTCTTGAAGGTTTTATTAGATATTCAGGTGAACTCACAAAAAATATAACACTATTATCTTCAGACCTTTTTTCGTTTTCCGATTTATTTTCGAGAAAAACTCACAATTCCATACCTCGGCCCGTCTCTGAACTATATAAGGAAAAACATCTAATAAAATGTTCTTTTAAATGCACACCTACTTCCAAATTCACAGAATATTGGTATTAGGAATACTTTTTACAAATTTTGCAATACGTTTGATCATAGAGAAAACTTCATTTGATGTTTTTTGTTTCCGCGATAAATTTGTGGATAATTCCTCAAGGAGTTCAGATACTAAAAAGAAACACTAAAAAATGTCAACGGACAAAAATATTGTAGTTTCAGTGGGTTTATTCGAATAATTATTGATGAAAATGGCAGCCAAACAACAGGGTGATTTTTTTATGCAGGAAACAATTGACTTTCTCTCGCTTGGTATATGCACCGGGAAATTCTGGATCAAATCTAATTGGTTCAGTAGATGTCTGCGGAAGTTTCATTGAAATCCATTTTTTGTTTTTTCAAAAACTAAACACCCTGCATATCTGATCCATGTCCTAATTTATTCGAACAGTGACTGAAGAAAAAATAGAAGATATAGTAATATTCTGTGAAGCCAATAATTCGTGAAATTTCTTTGGACTAGAATACGACTACCACTAATTTGTATTCACTTGGCAAAGATTCAACCCAGCACAAGAATAGCAGGTCATTACGTTCGAATTCAGTTTTTTTTTTCAGAATTCAGTTCAGCCTTTTTGCAGATTTTCTCGTTTATATTATTAGATTGGTGTTTTTTTGCGATTCCACAGGAGTCACTTGGGTGTAAAATAGCATTCGAATGGAATAACACTTCGATAAGTACGCAATTAATGGGTATACACAGGTTATATAATCATAAAAACCAAGTAATAAAAATTGAATGGCGAATGGTTCAACTGTTTTATATATTTAGGGGCTTGCCTCCTATACTTACTTCTCACTATATTCTACGTGGATATTATTTCGATTCGAAATAACAGTTAGTAACGAAAGTTTCATCTATTACTATGGAATGAAAATTTGCATAAATTAATACTCTTGATATTATGCATGTCTGATAATGGCTGGCCGTGGCTGAAACTAGTAACCGAATCGAGGTTTTCATTGGCTGATTAAATTAGTTTTCTACTTGAATTTTGAAGTAGGTATTCATTATGTTTAATTAATCAACAGGGCCACTTTGAGTATGGATTACTATCACATAGGCTGGAAAATATACCGTAAAACGAAAAAGATAATCATGACAATAAGTGAATCAACATTAAATAATCCAAATCCATAAAATTACGTAAAATATTTGCATTATTCATGCGAAAGTCTTTCTAATAGATAACTTTTGCTCAATATGCATAGTGTATATACGTGATTGGGCAAACGCCTATCACCTAATTGTATGTAATTATCGCATTAACTTTTTAGCTGATATAGTAGGTACAGTATTCCAATGAAGAAATGCATTATGTTCATTAGGCATTGACTTGAAAATAAATTGATAAGCCAACAATCATAATATATGGAATTCGAATTTTTGTCATTGCTCAATCTCTTTTGCTTTTGCTTGAGGAAGCGGAAAATATCGATAATCTGAATCATCATTCTAAAAGAATGCATATGCTTTTATGGTAATGAATAAAATACCCCTTCACCAAATCTCAAAATTTTGATCTTTGGTGGATGATTCAATATATCTGATTCTCGATGTCCTTCTATCACGACCGTAGTTTCCGTAAGGGTCTATACTGTGACCGTATTGAAAGAAATACAATTTTGAAGTTTATCGAGGATAATGATGGCAATGAAAACACCCTTTTCGCCAAATCAAACTTTTTAGCTGTTATAACAGGTACAGTATTCCAATGAAGAAATGTATTATGTTCAGTAGGCATTGACTTGAAAATAAATTGATAAGCCAACAATCATATTTGATATTCGAATTTTTCGTCTATGCTCTTTTGCTTTTGCTCGAGAAAGTGATTTGCGGAAAATATTGATAATCTGAATCATTATTCCAAAAGAATTCATATGCTAATATGGTAATGAATAAAATACCCCTTCACCAAATCTCGAAATTTTCAACTTTGGTGGATGATTTAATATATCTCTGATTCTCGATGTCCTTCTATCACGACCGTAGTTTCCTTAAGGGTCTATACTGTGACCGTATTGGAAGAAATACAATTTTGAAGTTTATCGAGGATAATGATGGCAATGAAAACACCCTTTTCTCCAAATCAAACTTTTTAGCTGTTATAACAGGTACAGTATTCCAATGAAGAAATCTATTATGTTCAGT